AAAAAAAAAATTCCAGTAGAGTCGGGGGAGTGGTGTCAGCAGTTATTGCTCACACTTTAGGACAATGTAGGGTCAAATATATTGAGATGAGCAATATCAAGAAAATGCACGTTTTATTTAAACAAAAAGAAGGGTAACTGGGGTGTAGCTCAGTGGTACAGTGTACTCTGAGTGTGCTGGAGGACTTGGGTTCCATCTCCAGCACATAGGTAATTTCCAGGCCTAGAACAATTTGAGCTCAGAGAAGAAAGCCTGAAGAGAGGATCACAAAGGAGTTGAGGGTAGTATGACTTGATACTTGAGGACTTGAAGTAAAGGGTCTCCAGGTAAAGATGGAGGGAGGGCATTCCAAGACAAACTGCCTTTTGAAAACACTGCCTTGGTAAAGTTAGTCTCTCACTAAGCCAAGGGGAAGACACTGCCTTCCTGCATGTTTATCTCACCCCTAGGACTTAACAGTTGAGCTCAACCAATACTATATAGTAACCTTCAAAAGATTTTTGTGAACTAGTTTAGCTACATAATCACCATTTATAACACTTCAGAGAATACATTTGGAGGTTCAAGTTAATTAATTTCTAAAGTTTTAAAACATAACTTTGCATGGGTTCAGGGCTATTTCCACTCATTTTGTGTTAACTGACTTCACTGAAAAATTACTTAGAAGCTGGGCTAGTGGCACCCAGCTGTAATACCAGCCATTCAGGAGGCTATTTCGGGAGAATCCCAAGTGTGAGGCTAGCCTGGGTAACTTAGCAAGACCCTCTCAAAAAAAAAAAAAAAAATTAAAAGGGCTGTTTTTTTAGCTTAGTAGTAGACCTGGGTTGTTACTAGTATTACAAAAAACAATTTCTTACAAATATAGCTGGGGGGAGATATGTTCTTATAGTCTTGGCTACTTAGGAGGCTAAGGCAGGAGGATTACTTGAACCCAGTAGTTAGAGGCAAGCTTGGAAAATGCTTTAATACTCATTCTCAAAAAATTACTTATGAATGAATGCAGCAGCACAATATTCTAGTATATTTTAGGCAAAATTACAAAAATAAAAATTCACATAAAAATTAGCAAGCATACTACTACTACCTTTCCAATTCCTCACAAGAAATTATTATGAGAGAATTATCACTAAGAGTGCCAATTGCTAGTGAACATTACAAGCATTACTAATTATTAGTTAACATTAATTACTAATATATACTATTTGAATATGTAGTGTCTCCTTTGCTATGGCTATAAACTGTCATAATAATCATTTTACCAAATCTGTGCACCTACTAGGTACAAAATAAAGTGCTTATTTAATTTAAAACAAACAAAACGAAACAAATACCACAAAAACCAAAGATACAAAGCCAGAGATTTGGGAGGTTTGAAATACTGCAAACATATTTTACTGCATTTAATCTATACAAGTCTAATAAATACAGAAGTTGTTATGACCAAATGAATTTTTATTGCCTGCAAGCTGTTATATTTCGAAGTAGGGGAGTATGGTATGTTGATGGAAGCACACCTTGAAATTTCTTATACTTCAAAGAAATTGTTCAGAATGGAACAAGACACAAGCCATTGTGTATAATCTAGTCTATGTTTGGAGCTGGCAGTCCTTTAAGCCCAGGACAACACTTGCAGACCAATTTAGAGTAATGAAAACCAAAGTCAAAGCTTTTATACACACCACAACACTGGTAAATTAACTACAAAACAATCTTTGTGCATAAATTATAAATTGTAAGGTATACATCATTTTAACAAAGGTACAATAGGGTTGGTGCAGTGATCAGAAGTAGCTTCTCACAATGTTGTATCATGGGAAATACATATCTCTTTACACACAGGAGATTACTTTGATGGGAAAAAAAAAGAGGTCGAATTTGCTAATTAAAAAAAAAAGTTTATGTTCCAATCACAAACAAATAATTCTAGGTCAAGCTATACCACCACGAAGGATTTTCTTCAAAAATATACTTGGCATTTTCCCCTTTAACTCAACTCCAGGTTTACTTCTTACAGAAATACAAGAAGTTTTATTTGGTCAAGACATTAAATGTAATTACAAGGACAAGTTTTTTTAAAAAAACACTAATAACTAATAAACAAACAAACAAAAAAGCCCCAGAACAAAAACCGAGTAGTACAGGTCTTCCTTTCTCCAGAGCTGTGTGTCTTCAGCCCTCTTCTTCTTCATCACTGTCTTTCATGGTAATGCCCTGAAGTCCTCCACCTTCTGAAACAGAGGCGGTGGCCTCCTCAACTGTTAGCCTTCTGTGCAGGGTCTCATATGTCTTACTGTTCAGTGTTCCTTCCAACACACCCTGTAGTCGGAAATCCCTGTAAGTTTTCTGGAGGAAGAAGAGAGAATTTTCTTAGATAAGTTACATTTACACATTTGTATGTATGTCTGTATGTATAGGTATATACACTCAGGTGGCATTTCAAAAATCATGTTGGAAAATCCACTAATGAATTCAGATTGTAACTGCCTGCTGTCAGTCATCTTGTTGGTGTATTTCTGGGAAGAAAGATGGAATAAGTGATTCTGAATAGTGCTACCCAAACTACAATCACTATGAATAGTTCAAAATGTTGTGATTATCAAATGACAGATTAGAACTCTTCCCCAAAATGTTCCTAATGACTCGGAATTTACTATTTGAATAATCTATAAAAAAGATAAAATGGTACATACTTATTTTTTTCATAAAGATAATTTCTTGGTTTTTAAATTAAGAAGACTTTCCTTTAATACTGAAAGATACATTTCATTTTATAAAATGCATAAGTTTGAGAGGATAGGTGTATTATTAGTAAAAGAAGCTCACAGTTTTAGCATTTGTGAATTATAAAATTTTATTTATATATAGTATCTTTATACTTTATAAAAATTTGTGTTCACCTAAATGCTGTAAGAATTTTGTCCTTTCTCTTTGAAATAGCCTTAGAATGAGAAGTGCTAACTTCTGGCAAAAAGTTGCCATAGATAGGATGTAAAACAAGTATTTACATTTTTGTAAGACAATAAATTATAATTTATAACTTATATGTTCTACATAAAATAGAACAGAAATTATGTTATTATTTCTATACTGATTCTTAAAACTCCTTCTGTGGCACTTAAAATATGTGACTTATAAAGCTCTCCTTATGGGCTAGGGATATAGCTCAGTGGGTGGAGTGCTTGTCTCGAATGCATAAGACCCTGGGTTTGATCCCAGCACCACAAAAAATAAAAAAAATAAAAATAAAAAAGCAAATTTCTCTTTTTTTTTTTTTTTTGGTGGTGCTGAGGATCAAACCTAGGGCCTTGTATATGCAAGGCAAACACTCTACCAGCTCAGCTATATTCCTAGTCCTTATGTTCACTTTTATTTTTAAAAACATTTTTTAAAGTTGTAGATGGACACAATGCCTTTATTTGTTTTTATTCGGTGCTGAGGATGGAACCCAGTGTCTCACACGTGGTAGGCAAGTGCTCTACCACCGAGCCACAACCCCAGCTCCTTTATGTTCACTTTTTGTAAAGTATGATTATCTTCACATATTTTTCATGACTAAACAGGGTGGTATATTATCATTATTATTTTTTTCTTGAATGTAGAAACAAAGAGAAAATGAAGATGCTTCATCCAGTGGAGTCACTTCAAAGGCCATTTTGAATGCTAAATATCCTTTATAATTCTTTTACTGTCCTGTGTGAGATTTTTAGTATTAAGTAGCCAGACTTGGACTGGTCAAAGTATCAGTATATATCAATATGTCATGCTCTGTTCTAAATGATTGCTGGTAGTCACTTTGTTTTTGGTCATTATTTATACTTAATATATGAAAAAAGTTAAATAAGAAGGAGAGACACTGTCTTTCATGGTCACAAATCATAACTCCAGCAACTGGAGTAAGAGAGATGCTTGATTTTACTTAACAGATATAGTCAGAATACTTCTATCACGACATCCAGAAAATACCAGTACATTCAGACAGGTGAACTGATGGCACATTCACATGAGTTAGAAAGTGGAACTTAGGCTCCTCCATTAACACACCTGGCCTAAACAATTTAGACAAAATTTTCTTAAAATTTCATAATTTTCTTAAGAGATCAATTCTATTTTCACTGAAATTTGAAAGTTTTTGAAGACATACAATTCACCATCCTTCTCTTTCTCACCTGAATGATTTTATTGTGAGAAAGTTACAAATTTATTCTAAATCATAAGTTGTTATGAATAAAGTGGTATGGTCTTATACTAAAACTCATGGTAACACTCATCAGGAGACAGCAAAGTAATTCTGAAATGCCATTTTTTGTCTAGAGAATCTGGTGACTTAATATACATGGCATGAGTACCCCAGAGATTTGTGTTCCAGTCTATCATTACTTTGTAGTCAGACTAAAAGCACACTGAGCACATAAAATATTCAGATGATGCATTTGACAACAATTACTATTACAATTACTATTGTCACATTGAGTGACAATTGTATATTGAGCTTTGGGGTCTAACTTTCTTACTTTACTGGAATAAGTTTCCTTAAGACTTAGCTTAATTATCAACAAATTGGCCAGGACATACTTGAATTGTGGCTTTCTCCTCCCGAGGGCTTTCTGATTTACATACAATTAAGGCCACTTCCTTATTCTATTAGCAAGTAATAAGCAGTTAGGCAGGTACAAGGTAGACATCCTGCAATCTCTGTTTCTCTAGGACTTGCACACCTACCCTGGCTGCTGTAATGGCCTTGGTGGCTCTTTTTTAAGACAAGTGCCTGCCTCAGTGTGCTGCTCACTTGTTTTCTTTTCTCTTAACAACAACAAAAAAAAAAGGCAATGGATTTATGTTATCTACTTTTAAATACCCTCTGACTAGAAAGAACACAAATTCAACAGCCACTTTTATTATTTGGCAATTCTTCTTTTTTCCTTCCCCAATAAATCATTTTGATGTCAAAACTTCAGAAGTAATTTCAGACTTTCGTGGAATCTTCCTGGGGTATATTTTGTTTCATTTTCTTAGCAATATGAGTAAACCACTATGTGTAAGTGTCTTTGTAGGGCAGAGTTGGGTATCATATAAATTTTGATGACTTCTGGGTTTCTATGGGCACAGAAGAATGGCAAGGCCTGTGAGGAGTAAGAGAGACTTGTAGTCAAAGGGCTTGACTCCTAGGTTAAATGCACAACTCTTCTGTAATAAGCAGGCCAAGTCCAAGTGACTTGGGTGGAAGCCCACTTAGAGGCCTTCACAATTCTATACAAGTGTTATTGAATAGCTTCATAAAAATTCACAGGAGAATGACCATTATAAACAAAACCATACAGGTTCTAAATAATAATGAAACTATATATGAAATTGTTTATATTCAAAGTAAAGAAAAAATAATTAGGACACTAATTTATTAATTCACTTGACTGTAATTATGAATAAAGTCATTTTTAATTATTAAAAAGAACTCTATGACTTGTTTAAATGTATTAGCCCAAGAAAGCAGTGGCTGAGCCTTGGAAATTGCTTATGAAAAGCAAAACATGGGAAGTCAAACATTATATATGAAATCTAATTTTATATTTATCAATTTTGACTATTGATAACCATAATGAAAAATATATTAAAATAAGATGAATTTAATGAACTAGTGTACAATAAAAATATCACTGTATAATTTATAAAATTACTAATTGTCCTTTTCTGACAAAATATTCACTGGTGAGAGTACTTAAAATCTACTCTTAGCAAATTTTATATATACAATACACTGTTATTAACTGTTGTCACATTGTACCCTTGAATATAAATAATTTTTATTTATCAATTATACCTCAGTAAAGCTGAAAATAATTTCACTGATGCTTGATGGTTACTTATTTAGACATGTTAATGTGAGAAAAGGATTAACTTTGAAGAAACGAATGATAGGCAAATAAAAAATGGAGATTTTAATTCTCAAAACAAAGATCTTAACAATCTGCAAGCTAACACCAGTTGGCTGACTATGTAACTTCTGACATCCTGAACACAGGAGACACTGATTTGAAAATATGGCTGCTGGCCAAGATAACCAGCTAATCCTAGTATGAATCACAACATGATCAGATAGATATTTTTGGAAGGTAAATACATTATGGTGATTCTCTTTTATGAAAAACAAACTTCATGTAAAAGCTCTCCAAGTCATATTTACAGAAACAAGGAAGAAACAATGGAGAATTAAGCTGAATGTGAATGAATCAAAGTGCTTATAGTTTTGTAAAAAAATAAATTATAACGCCTGGTAAGAGGTGTGTTGGATCAAATAGATTTTGTCCACTGAATGTAGTGTGTAGGCAGAATATTAATATGCTGCGAGTGCCAGTTACTTTACTAATTATTTATGATTGATCACCATTAATATTATTGTAGTTTTTCAGGTTTGTTTCTACCTCTTTGTAGATTGGCCAGTTTGACTTTGGAACAGAATTTTCCTGTTTGTGATTCTTTCTAACCTGTGATAATCTATGTCTTCATGGCACAAAAATTTCATATTTGAATTAGATTGCAAAACCAACACAGTGACAGAAACCATTTAAATTTGGAAACTTTCAAAAAATAATGTAAAAGAGTGATTCTTCACAAACCTTAGCAATTATTAGACTCCTCTGAAGGGTTTGTTAATATATAGATTGCTAGGTTTACCCTCGGGTTTTGACTCCAAAGGTCTGTGGTAGGTCCCAAGAACTTGTAGTTCCAAGTTCCCAGGTGATGCTGCTAATGCTATGTCAGGAATATCACTTTGAGAACCAGTGTGCATGGGTGTACATATACATACATATGCAAATGTTTACATTATGTGTATGAGCACCCACACCTGTGTACCATCAATATAAATAAAATGAAAGTAAAGACCTTCCATTTAAAGAAACATTTGGTCAGTAGCATAGAGTTACATTTTTAGCCATAAGTGGAGTTCTATCTCAACGTTAAGAAAAGTTAAACTTGGGATGAATCTTTTGCTTTTACTAGAATTTAAAAATTGCAAAATATCATGTTGAAGAAATATTTTATAGCCTTTACTCACTTGATATAACATATAAGTTATTACCTTTTCTCTTTAAGAGCAAGAGAAAATGCAAGGTTGAAATGGCCTGTTGAACTTACATGACATCTGCATTAGTAATTCTGGATGGTCTCCAACACTCAAACTGGTCACCTTTTCCATCTAAGAAGGGACATGCTTACAAAAGAATTTAGGCAGTGACAATGTAATACTTTCATGCCAATATATAATAAAATAACCTAGATTCTCCTTATTCTATTGACAAATACAGTTTAAAGCTCTCATAATGATACATGATCCTAATGAATGAATTCTTGAAGAACATTTTTATTCTTAAGAAACATGCTAGTGGATTTATGTGTATTATCTTAAAAGTGATTACTCACTAACTGATATTCTTTTATTAGTTCAAAAAAAGAGCGTTATTTAGTAATCTAGGTAAAGATGGAAATAAATGGCAGCACATTGCTGTTAATGTTATGCTTTTTAAGTACTTACATTTACTCTGTTATATCAAACCTTAGTTTGGTATGACAATATCTGCATTATTCTTTATAGTTTCATGGGCAATTGACATCTACACACATATCATTTACCTTCACAATCTTGATGAGCGTCTTCAGTTGGTAAATATGAAGCTGTAGGTCTAATCTATCAGCCAACCAGACGCAAATGACTTTCATGGAATTGCTGTACCATTGCTGGAAAGAAGGATGGGGGCAGAGGGAGGAGAACAAAAAAGAAAACAACCTCTACAGTATTCATTTAACAGATTTGGTAATGAGGGGGTAATGAAACACTCTGAAATGACCACAGATCAGCACTTGAAGTCAATAATGCTATAATTTCCTGTTAACAGAATTGTATGTTTTGCTAGAAAATCTGCTAAGTTGACCTAGGCTGTGCTTTACATGAATTAACATTACAGTCTTTCAGCTGTAACATATTCATGGGAAATAGTGTTTTTGCACTTTGCAGCCTAGTGGCCTGCTTTGTAATTTGTGAGTAACAATGGGTACAAAATACATATTATGGAGCTGAATGGAGAGCCAAGCAGCAGAGAATAACTGGTAAATTATTTTCAAAAGGAAAATTTCCTATTAGCCTGCATGTTATGTAAAACTCAAATGGTAAATGTGCTCTGGCATAAGCCATGTTGTCAATACCTAGAAATAACATTTTGAATGATTGGTGGCAAAAAAAAAAAAAACCATCAAAAATAACATCAATCCTCAACCATATCTTTTACCTACTATCAGTTAGGTATTTGCCAAGATTTTTTGAGATAACAGAAAGGAACAGTAGCAAGATGGAACTCTGGTGTCTTATAAGAATTACAAAAAAGACATGATTGACCAGATTATGGAAGAATCTGTTTCATTTTGCAAGTGTTTTTAGGGAGTTCTGACTTTTTCTCTATTGACTACAACTCCCTTGAGGGGAAAACTGAAATTCTTCTCTAAATGTAATATCTTGCTTCTATTTAATGTATATGAGAAGAAAAAGAAATTTTGTTTCCTATTTTCAAAAAAAGTCCAGCATGGATGGTGACTATTTAAGGGAGTAAGTGACAAAGCTAGTTTAGATAATAATGCTACTCATTCAGGTAACAGAAATATCAATGTCCATTCAGCACTTTGCAAAAGACAAAAGAGTTTTTTAAAAGAGAAGTGATTTTGTGCTTTGCTTGTATACACAAACAGAATTCCAGGACAGATCATGTGTGAGCAGATACATGGTTTTAGGTACTCAAACACAGGAAAAAGTCTTAAATATTTTTTTCTCCACAATAATAAAACAGTACATTTAACATCTAAGAGAAATATTAAGGGAGACATGCATGAAGTTCATCTAGACTTGTATTTATTAACACTGTTCTGATACATTTCAATATAATAGAAAATGGCATTTTATGCATAAATTAAAAATGGATATGTTTTATATTTTACCATTGATTTCTACTAATTTGTTATTTTGCTGAACATATATGCATAAAATGAGGTAAGCAAATTAAAACGAGTAACTGACTTCCTAAATACTATCAATCAAGGGGATAACTAAAAATGTCAAAGTTTCTAAATTGTAGGATAGATTGTGTTTTTTTAAAAAAAATGTTATAAATACACTTAGTTTCATTCCTTCCTAATGGATACTTTATTTTTCAGGACATGTAAAAATATTAGAAACAATTTTATAACATGAGATACCTATACTTCTAAATTCTTAAAAAAAATAAACTGCTAGTAAATTTAGTACCATAGTGATATGGATCTCAAAATATTTTATAGGCACATACTCACTTTACTTTCTGATTTTATTTAGTTTCTATACTTCCTTATTGCAAATTATTTACAGTCTCAACTTCTTGAATTCTGTTTTATGCAGGTAAACACAGGTATGGACTGCAATATTGAATGAGTATGCCGAATTAAGATCCTTACCCCACACCATTCTCCAAATAATCTGAAAGCTAAAATGTTGTCAAAGTGGATTAGACTCTTAAAATTAGAGTCTTTTTGGAGTGGATAGTAAAAATTTTTGATTTTATTGGAGGAGAGAAAATACTACATATTATATGAAATCTTGTAAAACCTATAAGTTTATCTGTCAAGATTGTGCAGCTACATGGTAAGCTGCATAAGTATGAGGGAAATGAAAACAGTTAAAATTACTCCATGTGCATCTTTATATTCTTAAAAAAACTGTTTCCATAATTTAACTGCATTTCTCATTGTATGTAATGTTACTTATGATTACATAACAATTGAAAGGGCCTTTAATGTAACACAGAAAGTTATTGATAACCCTTCCTTAAAAATACGACACCAAAATATTAACTAATAGAAGGGATTTAGGAATAAAATGACCCACAGTTAACTATAAAGATAGTAAAAAGAGAACCGTTTAAGCATTCTCTTACTTGGAAGGCAATATGTTATTCTACAAGGAAAAGTCTCTAAGAATAATTATCCTATCTGATGAGACTGTATATTTTTGGCTCCCAGGTCAGTCTCTTAAAGAAGAATTGCAGCTTAACTGAGCAGATGATTAAGGGAAAGCAGTAGTTTAGCTCAGAGCTTAATCTATGCTGCCACTGAGAATAGGCGACCAAGGACAAAATTGCCACTACATTGCTGCTTTCTTGTATATGGTGAAACTGGAGGCAACCTTCCACCCCACAAAGAAACAAAGCCACCAACACAGAAAGGTCCAGCATTTTCCTAATTCTGGTGCTGAAATTAATGTGTCCTTCTTTTGAGAGCTGAAAATATAGCCGGTCCCATTTTTTTTCATCTTGAGAAAAAGAGTCAAAATTAGGTGAGCTTCATTTCTCTCCACAGAACCAAATCGAACCAACCTCCAGCATCAAACAAAGAAAAGAAAAAAAAAAAAAACTTGAAAAGGGCGAATGTGTGGTAAAGTCCAAACATTAGGGAATGCCTTTTCATTTTGGAGAAGTTAATTTTATCAAATAACTTGGTTGACTATTCACTCTTCCCTTCAGGGGATGACAGGGAAGGGGCTCCACACCCACACTGAAGCCAAAGGCATGGCATTACTGTTTTATTCTTTGCTTTGGTCTACACAGGAATAAAGCAGTAACTGTATATTTTACATTTTTTTTCCTACATCAATCCATGACAGCAGCCTACCACTTTAACAAAAAATATGTTTTTTTTTTTCTTTTTGTGGTTCATTCAACTCCTGTAAGGGCATGCATTACTCACTTCATTTTCTTGAGATATCTCTTTTAAAGCGAAAATAAAAGAAAAGGAAAGGCTAGGGTTGACTCTGTGAGACCCTTGTATTTATTCACACTTATTGTGCATGACTGTAGACTGGTAAATCATATTAGCAGCCCGTCTCCCCATCAAGCTGCTACTTGCTTTCCAGCCCTGGGAAGGTTCAACAAATCAACAGGAGCACGGAAAACAGAACATCAGTCTAATCTAGTGTTTAAGGTGAAGTTTTCAAACCCAATCTAAGAAGATCTTTAGAGCAAGCAACAAGCTGAAGGGCTCAGAAGGTGGTATTGACGATGAAAGAGTGTTGAAATATTGAGAAGCGCAGCACTTGTGCATTTTTAATAACAAGAGGGTCAACAAGGACACAGCTCCCTCAGTGCCAGGAGTTGCCACTGACTATGGAAATTGCCACACCAGGGCTATAAACGCTTGCAGTTCATCAGCTTTCTTAAACAGTTCATCAGCTTTCTTAAACACCCTGAACCCCCTCAGTGGACCTTTAGTCTTGAATTAACAAACCAAAGCAATGAAAGAGGGTGCAGTCTGAATGGCTGGCATTGATCCCCAACTGTGTCAGCACTGCTACAGGCCCTGAAAAACTCTCTCCATTGTCAATAGAAATTGACAAACCTCCTCTCCTAAATAGTGCAGCTGAGCCGGGCGGGATCCACGCAGCTGTAAAGGGCTCTGCTCTTGGGGCCCGGGAGCACTAACAATAGAACAAGCATGAGCTCTTTGTCAGTCCCAGACTCGGCAATTTTCTAACAAGGATTAAAGTTGTTTCTCCGCAGAGCTGGTGAAAAGAGATTTAGCAACATACCGTGCTTTCTTCATGCAAGTTAAAGAGAAGTAGTTAAGGAATTTCATTATTCTGTTGACCAGTGGAAATACAAAACAAATATATTAAATATGCACAACTCCCTTTTTGCCTGGTTTATAACATTTTGAGGATGATTCCATTAACTACAACACTTATCACCTGGGAACAAGTGCTTCACATTTATTTTGGAAGTTTTATTTTTCAAAAATCCAGCTGCTTGCCACCTGGAATGAGGTCTCAATACATACTAATGCACAATGCCTTTAGACCCTCTGCGGCTGATATTCCTAAATCTGAATCACAAGACCCCATAGGGTTTATATATCACGGCTGCTTCAACCAAATGATTTCTGTCAGAATGCGGCTTCTGATGATGATGGAAAGGTAAAAATAGCTGCTTTGCTAGGGCACAAATCTGTGATATATTTTCTGCTTAAGTGTTTAGCTTTTTATTGATTATGAATTGGTACAACTAGTTTATTTATTTTCATTCTTCTCCAGCTATGCTTGTCTCAATAGGTGAACAACAGAAAAAAAGAAAGAAAAAAGAACCGATACTTTTTACTGCAATAAAATGTGGAATGGCTAAATTTCCACAGTATGTACACATATTATCTTCATTTATTTCCAGAGAAGCTATTTTATAAGAGTTCAGTCACTGTGCTGAAATGAAATAACATCTAGAAAATCTCACCTTAGGAAATATGTTATTTTTAAATGTAGAATTGAATTGAGTGAAAGAATAAGCACTATTTTTTAACTGCTGCAGGCTTTGAGATGATTGAGAAATATAAGCCATCCCTTTATCATTTAGCTGCTTCAGAGATCAATAAAATTTTAGAAAAATTATTGCCTTATGGGTCTACCAGTGTACTAAAAAAATATAAATGCATCATTATTCATCGAGTGTTCCTTTTGTCAACAATCTGCTTAATATGACTCTATTTGTGGTTCTATTTCTGTCACTTCCTATTTCTTAATACTCAAGTGCAAATTTTATATTATTGGGAAATTTGATACAGTAATGGCATTATTTCCCCCACCCCCATTCCAGGAATCCCACTGAAACTATCATAACTAGACCCACAAAACAGATGCCCAAAGCATAAGCATTTTGCAAGTTTTAAGTGTGAGT